TGGTGCAATGGATAGCGGCTTGTAATGAGAAACCAGAGAGCCAAGTTTGAATTCCAGTCGTTTGTTACATGCACTTGAATGCAAATACCCTTGGAAAATGTATGAATCCATCTCTTCTCCTCTCTGCCCCAGCTATGGGTAAATAGCAGAACAGACTTGGCCCTATAGCCTTGATTGGCAACCAGTCTAAGAGAAGGGAGACTCTGAATCCAGACCAGCCTGGAGAGAGTTGGTAAAAGGTGAATGAACTTCTTATAGGAGCCAACAGTTAGCTTCTAGGACTACTTCTATCCAAGTGCATCTTCTAGTGCAACTAGGAGAACTCCTATCTGAATAAAGCTTGGAATTGTAACAGCATCTGACATGTGGCACATAGTGCACCAGTACAGGACATGGTGTTATGAGGGAGAGAGTGATCATCAAAGAGCAGAGGTACATTGACCAATTCACAGCGGAATCTATTGGGTTAGCATATAATAACACACTGGTTTAATTTGCAGGATTACAGCATATATATCTATCTATAGCTGGCCACTCATATTTGAGGATACCTGTCTACTCGGGGGACTAGCCAATCCCTATTGAAGACGCTTGCTCAGGCACATTTGTGTTTGTTCAACACCCACAGAGCCCACCTGTGGTTTATACTACAACTATGCTGAGCAGACCTTAGTTACAGTCTCTGGGAGAAAGAGTGTATTATCTAGCATGATCAACAATCTGATCAAGGCCAGCACGCTCAAACCCTTGGTCACGATGACTTGTGACTTTGTGCTAGCACAGCTAATGACATCCTCCAAGTGTTCCATCTACCCAATTTCACTCACAAGGCTTGTGTCAACCCTAGGTATGGTTTTTAAGGCACTGTCATTATTAACCGATCTCTTTGCTCTGCTTACATCAAGTGTACAAGTTAACAGACCTGGGGATATATAATGAATTCCATCCTTTTATCACTGGGATTGTCCCCTCCAGACCATTAATATTAGGAAGTCTCCTTCCTGACAAATCAACTGAACCCAGGTCTCATGGTCAGAAAGCAAACGTTCTAACCACTTGGCCATGCATCCATATATAAATATGTAAAGTACACTTGAAAGTCATTTCCTAAATTCAACACCCACAGAGCCCACCTGTGGTTTATACTGCAACTATGCTGAGCAGACCTTAGTTACAGTTTCTGGGAGAGAGTGTGTTAACTAGGCCAGCATGCTCAAACTCTCAGTCATGATGACTTGTGACTTCATACTAGCACAGCTATTGATGGCCCCAAAGGGTACTGTCTACCCAATTTCACTCACAAGGCTTGTGTCAATCATTGGTATGGTTTTTCAGGCACTTTCCAAAGGTGCTGCATGCAGGGATTGCCCCCTCCAAACTGATGACATCAGGAAGTCTTCCTTCTGACAAATTGACCATGTTGAGATTCAAACCCAAGTCTTATGGTCAGAAAGCGAATGTTCTAACCACTCAGCCATGTGCCCATAGCAGATAGAAGGTTGCATGTCTGTTGAGTTTTCATGTTTATTAATTACTGAAAATATTTCATCCTATGCTTACTTTCTAGGTTGAAAGATATTTTATTTAATGTGTTTGTGTTTATGTAAGTAGATTACTACTAATGTTAGATGTTATATGTTCTCAGTAAAAACACTAAATTTGGGAAGATGTGAAATTGTGACAACGTGTTTATCATTATAAAAATAAACGTTTATCTAAATGCAAATGCCTTTAGAAGGAGCAGATCATGTGCTGTACATCTATATGCGTATGTGTGAAAGAGAAAAGGTGAGTATGACTTCACATATCATGTGTTTATTTTACCTTTAGACTTCATCAGAGTTTTACATGTGTTGTTATTTTTAGTTGTAAGGAATCCAGCAGTGGAAATAAAATTCTATCAGAAACACAGCAAATCTTTGTCTCTGTGTAGAGATAGATAGATATAGACAATGCAATCTCCAGGCCAAAGCATGAAGCTGATAGTCACTATGCAGTGTTGATTCCTATGTCCATACTGTCTATATCAATAAATACTCTATCTCCAATATTGAGTACTCTTCCTCTAAAAGTAATGCAAATTTTAAACAAATATATATGGATGGATTCTCCTGTTGAGATCATGATTCAGTAGATTAACTTCAGCTCTTGCCCATATATGGGAACAGTACTTCATTTTCAGCCTGATCTGGCTCTTAAGAAGAGATGGATTTCCAAGGGTATTTGTGAAAAAGCAAACAAAACAACAGTCTTGGCTGAAATTTGAACTTAACACATCAATCTCATTTTCTTTGCTGATAACCACTACATGATGCACACATCCAAATGATGCCACAGACATGTCATAAATTTAAAAAAAAATAATTTTAAATTATGGTGTTTTAACACCTAACATCATAATAGGAAAACTAAATTACAGGTCCTGTGTATGGCAATAAACTACATGCAGCAGCAAGGCCTCTCATCAGTAGGTTTTGAGGAGCATCGAATTGCTATTGTTCCCAGCTCCATTCTAACCTGAAGTGGTAGCACCTGTTAGGGATCACAGCTATGGGCAAATAGTTAGCCCTCAAACTGGGGTCAAAACACTATGAAAGTAAAAAACTGGATTTTTATGGTAAAATTACCAGCAATACATTTTTGAAAAAAAATATTACCAGCCATACATTTTTGAAAAAAAAAATATTACCAGCCATACATTTTTGAAAAATGTTATTTTTGAAAATGCACAGTTCTAAGAAATAATACCAAAAAAATATAAACCAAATGAGAATGTCAATAAAAGCAATTTCTCTCCAAACTGTATATCTGAAAGAAGAATATGTCAGTGAAATCAGACATTTGACAAAAACCCTCTTTACAAAAATATATCAATGAAACCTGATCTACAAACTGATTTCTTACAAAGAATACATATTCTACTCATATGAACCTATCCTAAAAAACTTGTTGACATTAAATAACCCATTGAGATTGATATACCATAAATCAAAATAAACCAAACTAAACCAAAAAATAGTTTTCTTGAATTTTAAAACTATAGCATTCAATTCTTGATAATGAGCAAAGACAACTGAATTCACTCAAATATATTGATAATTCTTACACATTTTAAGCTTAAAGAGTGAACATCATTGTATCTTTAACGTTCTGAGTTAAACTGGAGCCACAATTTGATGTACTTTTGCCTTCATTCTTTTTCCTCACTTTAAGACTGATTGCATCCCCAAAAACATTATTATTAGTCTGAAGAATTTTCTTCTTGAAATAAAATGATTCAGGAAGAAGGTTTTCCATCTTGTCATTAAGTTCATCACCCCCCACATTATATATGTATATATATATATATATATATATATATAGGGATACAAAAGTAGGTAATTAAGCACAAAACATCGATTCTACGAAGATATCTCTAAGAAACATATCAATCCCTCAAATCTGTTTGCCCCTGTCATTCACACATTCCTTTTTGCCAGCCAAATATTTATTATTATTTACTATAAATAAAAATTATAATAAATGTATTATAATACAAATTATAAAAATAAAAATATTAAAAATTAATTTTAGTATTAAATGTATCCTAGAACCACTAAGGTAATATTAGTATAATACTTACTGACCTAAGACCACCCCATTTCCTATGTATATACTCAGTCAGACTGCACTGAAAACATTAAGCAAGGTTTTCTGGGTATTTTTGTTCTTTCAGAATACAGGCTAACTCAAACATGTGCTAAACGATTCATGCCAGCCAGCTGAATTTGTCTTGAGAGTCACTTAATGTCTTTATGGTTTTGTTATTGTCAAATCTTTCTTTTTTTTTTACTGAACTATTAGATACCTACCCCTATGAAATATTTGAAATCTTTCCTACAAAATTCATATTTATATTTTTTTTTTTTATTTTAACTGAATTCACTCCATGCAAGACAGTAAAGCCACTCAGTTGAGTTCTGCCACGGAATATGTGAGCGAGTGGCGCTATGTTGAGTCTGATTTGGAATCTCTTTGTCACCGAGGCCCATTTGGAACTGTTGGTATGATGTTCGCTTGACAACCTAACTGTCAGGGTTTCAATTCTCGTAGTGGATGCGCACTGCTGATGAGTCCCAAATATAGGGGCCTAAAAGCGGCCGTCCAGTGCTTTCTGCATTCTGTTGAGGTTTCTATCAGACTCGATGAATTAATATATATATATATATATATATATATTTATATTTAGTTTTTTGCTTACTTGTATCAGGGTTTTTTTCTTTGAATTTTGGACTTGCATGCTAGATGATTATTTTCGGCTGAATTACATGTTCTTTGTTCTTTCTTTGTTTTATACATTTTTTCCCTTTGGTATTGGTTTGATTATTTGCAAATCAAGACACCGAAGCTTTTCGGACGAGTATAATTTCTTATACTTATAAGATTATTACTAGTATATATATATATATATATATATATATATATATATATATATATATATTTTATATATATATATATTTTTATATATATATATGCATATATGTATGTGTGTGTGTATATATGATATTACACACTACAAAATGGACAAAGTTTGACAATTATTATAATTTATCTTCTGTTTATACATTATTTTTATAGATACAAATATTTAAGTAAATGCTTTGTTTATAATAAACAGTATTAACAACATTTAGCAGCCTGAATGTCCAAGAAATTTTCATAGAAAATATGTCTTCTGACAGGAATCGAACCTGTATCCTACAAGGAACTGTCATATAGCCTGAGGTTCTATACCAATTTAGCTACTGAGGAGCATATGGTTAACATGGTTGATTTTACTGTTTTTAAAATACAATTTTCCATGATTTTCCTCAAACAATCATGTCTGCTCAATGTGTATCCAAACATAAACAAATAACATCACACACTACGAAATGGAAAATGTCCGAAAATTATTTTAAGTTATCTTCTTTTTATACATTATTTTTATAGATACAAATGTTTAAGTAAATTTTGGACATTCAGGCCAGTAAATGTTGATAGATAGATAGATAGATAGATAGGGAGAGACTGATAGATATGAACAGACTGTGATAGATAGATAGATAGATAGATAGAGAGAGAGAGAGAGAGAGAGAGAGAGCGAGAGAGAGAGACTGATAGATATGAACAGACTGTGATAGATAGATAGATAGATAGATAGATAGATAAGAACAGACTGTAATCGATAGAAAGATAGATAGATAGATAGAGAGATAGATAGATAAATAGATAGATATATGGTACAAAAGATAGATAGATAGATAAGAACAGACTGTAATCGATAGAAAGATAGATAGATAGATAGATAGATAGAGAGAGAGACTGATAGATATGAACAGACTGTAATAGATAGATAGATAGATAGATAGATAGATAGATAGATAAGAACAGACTGTAATCGATAGAAAGATAGATAGATAGATAGATAAGAACAGACTGTAATCGATAGATAGATAGATAGATAGATAGATAGATGGTACGAATGTAACATATTTAGGTTTCTGAATATACATGTATGCACAGGATATTCAGTGGAGTGGAACTAAACATACCTAAGCACCTGTTCATTTTTTTTTTCTGTGTGAGAAAGGTACACTTGAATTATCCCACTTACTCGTTTTTAGTATTAATAGCCTTATTTATTATCACGACCTTTCCCCACTTAGAACGCATGCCTTGTGGTACTGGGATATCACAACAAGTAGCAAACTGGAACTTGTTTTCAAAGTGAACACACAAAAACCTCGGATGCTTATATACCTGCAGTCATAATCCTATTTTTGATCTGGCAATAAGCACTGTGTCACTGAGGTAAATATAGTACAGAAAATTTTTTCATCTTTTATGTATTATGCCCTTTCAGAATGTTGATGATCATGGTTCTCCACAACTTTCTTTCCCTTGTTGCTCTAAACAATGTTTAACTCTTTACCATCCCTCTTTGTCTCCACTCTACTTCCCATTCACACATATTTTTGTAGGTTATTCAGGCCATATCACGTGGAAACATTGGTTCCCGTACTATTATAGGTTTAGCTAGTTGGGGCACTTCAATGTAGGGTAATAACTAGCAGGCTTGTCTTGCTAAGTCTATTACAACGTTCTTGTGCCATATCTAAGCTATGCTTAGAAAATCATTTTTATCTCACTAGATCAATATTGACTAAGTAGCAAGTTTGATCCTCACTGGGTGCTCAACACTTTTGGCCTTATACAACATCTAAGCTATGCTTAGAAAATCATTTTAGGCCCTTTGACATTGTGTAATCATTAGCAAGCTTGTCTCACTAGATCAATTATGATTGAGTGGTGAGTTTGATCCTCACTGGATGCCTCATACTTTTGTCCTTGTGCCATAACTAAGCTACATTTAATAAATCACAACTGAATAGTGAGTTTGATTCTTACTGTGTGCCCCATGCATTTGACCTTGTGCCACACCTAAGCTATGCTTAGAAGAAAATTGCACTTCAACATGATGTAATGGTTAACAAGTTTGTCTTGCTAGATCAATTATGACTAAATAGCAAGTTAGATCCTCACTGGGTGCTTCATACTTTCAGCCTTGTGCCACGTCAAAACTACACTTAGAAAGCCAACCACTAGTTAAGCAAGTCAAGATTGATCAGTACCTAGATGGGTGACTGCTTGGGAATACCAGGTGATGTAAGCTTGGATGTGCAGGTGGTGTAATGGATAATGGCTTTGAATTAGAAATTGGAGATCCGAGTTCAAATTTTACTCTGGTTTATTACATTCACTTATTGGGCAATCATGAATCAAAAAGAGACGTGTCACATCTGCCCCTGCCAATGCACATTGGAGGCCAGTGAGGTAGAGTAATAGCCCATTCCCCTCCCCATGAATTTGGGGAAGGCCTGTGTCTAACAAAAGACTTTTACAGGCTGAGGAGAAGGCAGGTAGGTTATTCACTGTTTCTCTCCTTTCTTCAGTATATCCTGTGAGTGTTAAATTTTCTAAACCCTCTTCCTGTTTAATGCATCCCAGAAATTTCAGCTGTCTAATATCGGTGTCCTTCTCACTTGCATTTTCTTTAGAACTTCCTTGTTGATAACATGTTCATTCTATGGTATTCTCAGCAACCGTCTGTAGAACGACATCTTTGTTACTTCAAGCCTCTTCTTCATGTGTAAAGAAAATTGTCTAGCACTCACTACCATATGGATGGATGGACATGACATAGCAGTTCAGCACTATTTTCTTTGTTTCTCATTAAATTTCTTTGTTTCTTAGTACTTTGCTTAGTTTTTGGACAGAACCTTTCTTTAATTTGTTGTGCCTTCAGGCTTCTGTTACTTCTGTCAACTGTATTACACCACCCAGTTAATTAAATTTCTTTACCTCCTTAATTCTAATGTCTTCAATTCTAAACATATTTTTGGCAATCTCTCTTTCTTATGACATAAATTAAGTCTAGTTAACAGTTAGTCTTTTTTCTTGCTTTCCTTTGCTTCTTTCATCTTGGAAATTCTTTCATTATAAGTACATTTTCTTTGCTTCTTCTGCTGGAGTTTTTACAGTTTTCCTTCTGTGCCTGCCATCAGCAAAGTGTCATTCATGTATCATACATTGATAAGATTTTTTTCTACTAATAATAAATCCTCGTATATCTTCTAGTTTTCTTAGGATCATCTCACTAAACAGGTTAAATAAATCTGATGAGAATACTTCTTTTCCTTCTGTGTGTTGTGTCCCTACAGGGCATAAGTAATCATGGCTCCTCACAACAATATATATATATATATATATATATATATATATATATATATATATATATACACTAGGTGTAACAGCTAATTGTCCATCCCACAAAATGCTTAATAACAAAAAAAAAAACACTAAACTAATAGAATTTCTTTTTTTCCAGGTTTTCAGATAAGACATTTACCCATCCTGACATCATTTGTCATAAGAATCAATGAAAAACTCTTTGTTATTCAACTAGAAAGAGAACAGGTTAAAATCATTTTGTGTTAGTCCAACTATATCTTCCCAACTGAGCAATAGTGAGAGGAAAAAGAGGGATCAGTAGAGAGGAAGACAGGATCAGGAGGTAACAACAGGAAGAGGGATCATCATTTCAACTTAGAACTAAAGAGATCAATTAGAAAAGGTCCAACTCAATTCATTAAAAAATTACCTCAACATAGGGATAGTCTATTTCAAGCCATTCTGTACAAGGCTAACATCAGCCTCTAAACATTGAGCTCTCTGTCAATCAGTTTTAATGATTAATATTACTAGGATCCACCCGGATTATATACCAATGGATTGATTACCAGTACTATATAGTATATATATATATATATATATATATATATATATATATATATATATAAATAAAAAGAAAGAACAGTAAGATATATAATCCAGTGTTCTTATAGATATTTTTATTTTTACAAAATAGTGCTCAATGTAAATTTACAGAGCATTAATATGATAAATTGATTGATTTAAAATATGTTTTTTTTCGTTTTTTTTTAGATGAAATCTAACATCCTTAGATTTCATTGAAAAATACATCCCTACCCACTACCAAAACGTAGCTAATAACTGATACATTAAAATATAGACATAATGAACACCCAGACACCCCTTGTCTAGTGAAGTGGATTTATCTGTAACCTTGGAAACATGAATTATGATTTTAGCTGTGTCTTTAAAACCCAGTAATTTTAAAAGTTACTCCAAAATTCACTTGAGGATGAAATGGAACTAATGTCTTTAATTTAATTACAAAATTAAATTCAGGGCTTTTAGCTTCCATTTTTGAAACATGGTTAGAACTGTGTAGCGAAAAAAAACATATTTTAAATCAATTAATTTATAATATATATATATATAAATATATTGGGGAAAAATGTATGACAAAGTGTAGAAAGGTTTCTTGTGTTGTGTTTCGTCCTTTAGGACTTCAGCGGACTAAATTTGTTATGGTATATTGTGCCTGATACTTTGAGTCATACTAGCAGTGAGAAAAAACATGTATATTTATTAATATATTATTTATAGCTCTGTTATATTGCTTCAAGCACAATTTTATTAACACCAGCATTCAATGTGCGAGAATATACATATATATATTTAAAATTTTTTTTTAAATTAGTAGATCAGCCAATCATGCTACTTTGGTTTCAACTAAGTTAGCATGATTGTCTGATCTAATTTTTTAAAATTTAAAAGCTCTGCATATTAAATTTTTATTTTCTTTATTTATTGAGCACTTTTTAATACAACTGTTTCATGGTCTAATTCAACTCTGACCAATAACTGCTTTATAATTAAATATATATATAAATATAAATATATATATATATATACACACACACACACACACACATATATATATATATATATATATATATATATATAGTGTATAGGGGCAGCAGATCATTATTCAAGCAAATATTGTTAAATATAATAGACAACTAATATCTGTTATGTTTTATCATGAGCCTTTCCAAGCATCCAATAGCTTTAGTTTCAAGAGAAAATAAAAACAAAAACTGCCCAATATTTGAATATTTCTTTATTATATTGGTTGTTGATCTAAGCTATTCCACGACCAGTATGATCGCATAGCAAACTTCTATGTAAACAGTATGTCATCTTTGATGGTGAACATCTCTGTTGCAATGTCCATATAACCACTCTGATGATTGGCCATGTGATCTGAAAGCTTAGATCAATGACTAATATAATAAAGAAATATCCAGATGTTGGACAATTTTTTGTCTTTATTTTCTCTTGGAACTAAAGCCATTATATGATGCTTGAAAAGGCTCATAACATAATAGACATTCATTGTTTGTTATATTTAACAATATTTGTTTGAATATATATATATATATATATATATATATATATATATATATATATATATATATAAAAATAATCCTAAGGAGTTTAGGCAAACCTACCTAGGTTTCCCTAAACGGATCTTCAGGGTAAAAACTGGCCAGTTTTAACCTGAAGATTCGTTATGAAACCTAGGTAGGTTTGTTGGATCCTTAGGATTATTTTAGTTTTTGTCCTACTTAGTGTATTGAGCACTTTATGTTTAGTCTTTTACTCATTTTGGGTTTTTTACTTCAGTCTTTGAGCTTAAGCACTTGACGTGAGGATTCGTACAGTGTTATGTTCTTAGTTCTTTCTTTTTTTATTTCCAATTTTTTCCTCAGACATCAATTTGTTATATTACAAGTTGAGCTAACCGAGGTTTTTTTCAAAACGTGTATTAACATTCATATATATATATATATATATATATATACACACACCCACACAAGCAAAGTACATCCTATAGAGAATAGCTAATAAAAAATTATTGGTAAATTTGATATCATTCATTGTTCCAGTTGTGACCTTGTGTCAGGCTAGATTATCCTGAGTAATAAATAATTATATATATTCATCACTGTTGTTTTCCATAGATCAATGGTTAGCAGATTTCTCTCACAATCCCTGGCTAGGGCGTTCATTTCGTACTGGT